TATTTTTATTTTATTTCAGTTATTTTTATTTTTATTTTTATTTCAGGGCTGGAGCGATAGCACAGCGGGTAGGGTGTTCGCCTTACAAGCGGCCAACATGGCCGACCCGAGTTCGATTCCTCCGCCCCTCTCGGAGAGCCCGGCAAGCTACCGAGAGTATTCGATATGCCAGACACAGTAACAACAAAGTCTCCAATGGAGACGTTACTGGGCCCGCTCGAGCAAATCGACGATCAACGGGAGGGCCTTTACCTTTTCAGGATAAATATAAATTCCCTGTAGAATGTAACATTCTACAACAAAGTATTCATCTACTATGCCAGGATGTTATTATTCAAAATGTGACAAATACTTAAGTATATTGATAAGCAAGCAAGCAAATAAATAAAATGGATCACTTAAATGAAATTATATTTTACTCATTTAGTTATTTTTGTTGGCATGGTATTTATTAATAGCTCTCTATTTTTCTTTGTTTTGGTTTTACAAACACCATTAGGCCAGATTAATTATGGATGAATAAAAGTATTAATGAATGCAGCAGCTATGTGTACCTGGGTCGAGAACTCAACATGAAGAACGACGTGGCGCCAGAAGTGCACAGGAGGAAGAGAGCGGCATGGAACGCCTTCTCTATCCAGTCAAATGAAATATTTAAGTTAATAAATTGAAGCTACTGGAAAAAAGATAAGATAATGATTAAATACACATCATTTTAGCCATAACATAATTATGGAATTAACAAAATTTTTATTAATTTAATAAATTAAATTAAATTATAATTTAATTATTAATTAATTAACTTAAAAAGAGAGTAGTTCAGCAGGGTGATACCATTTCACTGAAACTCTTCAGTGCTACCCTTGAGAATGTCATGCGACGACTTGGGATGGGAAGGAATGGGAGTGAAGATAGACTGTCCGTAACTACACCACCTCCACTTCACTGATGACATTCGCTAATAACACCAAACATTAGCCAAGCGGCACAAATGCTGGCCAACTTCGACCGTTGTGTGGAAAGGTTGGACTATAGCTGAATCTCACCAACACAATGTTCATGAGAAAGGGACTCGTTCCTAACGTTCCATTCCCTCTCAATGAAACAGAGATCTCTGAATGCAGCAGCTATGTGTACCTGGGTCGAGAACTCAACATGAAGAACGACTTGGCACCAGAAGTGCACAGGAGGAAGAGAGCGGCATGGAACGCCTTCAAGACCGTTGAGGAAATAGCTAAGAGGATGAAGAAACTTCGGCTCCGGGCATACCTCTTTGATTCCACCATTCTTCTTGCATTAACATACGCCTCAGAGACCTGGGCCCTATGAAAGCAGGACAAGAACACTATTTGGGTATCCCAAAGAGGAATTGAAAGAGCTATGCCTGGAATATAACATTTCACTCAAGTGAGAAAAGGAATCCGGAGTTCCGACCTCTGTTGACGATCAAGAATCAGGGATGCTGTCTCGTTTGCCAAGGCATCAAAGGTCACATGGACCAGTCACATAATGCGATTTAGAGATGACCGCTGGACTACAGCTGTTACCGATTGGATTCCACGAGATGTCAAAAGGTGGCTGCTCACCTACAAGATAGTCAGACTTCTTTGTCAAAACTCTGAACAAATGGTTTGAGGCTTTTTGTGTTCCTGGAGCGAGCAGATGCCATTGGGCTACACTAGCACGTGACAGCGAAGAATGGAGATGTTGCTGGTACCTGCTCAAGCAAATCGAAGATCAAGAGGATGACAAGTGATAAAAGTGATACAAATATAAATTCAGGACAAAACAAAAAAAGAGTTCAAGCAATTCTGAGGAATGGAGAGTAAAAGTCCTCTAAGAACTCATTCTTCAATCTCACATTTTAGGGGAAAATCACTGTTACAAGGTGAAGTAGCTGTAATAGCATTTTATTGTTACAAAAGTATTTACAATAGGTTTTTGCAAATTCATCTTCCAAATTGCTCTGTGCAAACACCAGAACGTTAGGGCCAGGGAAGACTCTAGTGTAGCTCATGCAGCTGAGCCAGATTTGTTTCCTAGATCCCTAGAACCATGAGCCCTGTCAGGAGTTGACCCTTGAGCACAGATCCAAGAGTCCCCACTGAGAACTACAGAGTAGAACATGGTTGGGTGTCATTTTATAAGAACCCCCCCCCCCCAAATAATAATAATAAACATAATGTGGGAGATCATCCCCCTAACAAAAACCCAATCCTAAGGTCAGGATAGTATCCTGGATTTTTATATTCTTAGAATATAAAATTAGGGCTTTGAATATAAACTAGCAATATAAATGTGCCCAGGAAAAAAATAGACTAGATTACAGGGAAAGCAAAAATTCACCCAGGAAATAATAGAATAGAAAAAATTTAAGGTTTTCTAGATGTAGAGGGAAACATAAGCAAAAATGGAGAGGAAACTGTTTTAACTTTATATGTTAAGGATTCCTACTGGATGACTCTACGAAATACCCCAGCCTCTGCTTTGCATGTAAGCACTGAATTTTGATGTGTGCACTAATTTTTTTTTCTTTTTGAGCCACACCCAGCGATGCACAGGGCTTACTCCTGACTCACGTACTCAGGAAATACGAAATACTCCTGGTGGTGCTTGGGGTAGCATATGGGATGCTGGGAATCAAACCTGGGTTGGCCGTGTGCAAGGCAAATGTCCTACCCGCTGTGCTATAGCTCCAGCCTCTACTAATTGTTCTTAATGTCTCTGTGGGAAGCAATGTTGCATCAGTGTGTGCACTCATTTATGGCTGCCCAGATGACCGTGAAGCTTGAACAGTCCCTGTGTTTTTGTTTGTCTCCTTATATATTTGTTTGTCTTAGTCTCTGTGACCAACCCCCATTGGATGGAGCGTGAAGGTACCAATCCCATTAGCTTTAAACAACATAACATGGTAACATGATGCTGGCTTCTAAATGGACATGTATGTCAATGGGAGAGAAAGGCTAGAAATATACTTTCCAACAGAATTTAATAAATGAGCAATACAAGGCAATGGGAAATAAATGGAAACTTATGTAGAAAGTTGTGTCTCAGATGAAGTGTTATTTCTATAAAAGGATTTTTTCTTTACTAACCCAGTGAACTACTGTCCCCTTGCAAAATTTACCATTTTACTTTTTCAAAAATCATCATATTCACTTTTATATTTTCTTTTCTTTTCCCAGTTTCTTTTCTTTTTGTCCAGTTTACCAGCATGTAAATTTCATTAGAGCAAAAACTTTATTTGCAGTAATATCCTGGTAGATTATCAGTAATCAGAAGGTTCTTGTTAAATAATAAAAAACAGGTTAATGAATAAAAGAATGAGTAAACACATTCTGGTGGTATGCTAACTTTTTAGCTCCACAAAGGAAAACCTGAAAGTTGATTATTTAACGTTAAACATCTTACAAAATACTACTATGAAAGAAAAAGATGAAAAGAGACAAGAGAGTGGAAAAATACAAGCATGAAGTACGGGAAGGATCAGTTAACTTCATGATAAAGAAATAATTGAAATGTAAAACAAAGCTTTAGTAAGGACATTTATGATAGCTTATAACTCAAAAGTGAGACATCAGGTCCTTACCACAATAAAACAAGAAGTTTAACAATCTTGAGGAAATGTACCAAGGAAATTAGAGGCTAAAATAAGGGTTAAATACTGTGCTAGGTTACGCATTTTGATAAACTTTAAGTTTGTGTACTTCATACAACTTCATCAATTAGCACTAAAGTTTTTATATTTCTTAACCCAAAATTTTTATTCCAGAAAAAAATGCCTATAGAAAGTAATTCAGAAAATTAGAAAAGACGGGTACACTGAGATATTCATTACATTATTATTACTATTATTATTAGCTTTTTGGGTCACAACTAGCGATGCACTGAGGTTACTCCTGGCTTTGCACTCAGGATTTAGTCCCAGCGGTGCTCAGGGTACCATATGGGATGCTGGGAATCGAACCCGTGTAGGTAGCGTGCAAGGCAAATGCCCTGCCTGCTGTACTATTGCTCCAGCCCCCTTGTTACATTATTTTTAGAGTGAGATTTGGACATGTTGTATTATATTGTACAGAGGACATCTGGCTGAGGCATCAAAGATGGAATCCCCTACAACCATTATGCAATAAATCAGAAAGAACATAAAGCAGTAGAGAACATGTTTTGTTATGGTAGATTAAAAACAGAATTAAAAAAAATCCTTAAAATTGACCGCATATAATGAACAGAATTCGACAAACACACAGGAGCATATTAAATCACCAGTCGAGATGTGTTTGTTCCACAGTTACAGAAACTCCTCTATGTTCATACTTAATACAGCCACTCTTATTAGGGTTGCAGCACCCATACTGTTCCCACATGAAATCTATTCGATGAATGGTCTTTTATTTATTTATTCATTATTTATTTATATAAATGTAAATACATTTTATTTATAAAATAAATATAATGTATTTACATTTATATAAATAAATAATAAATATTATTTAATAATAATAATGAATATTTAAAATTTTTTTTTAATTAGTGAATCACTGTGAGGTACACTTACAAAATTACAAACTTGAATGGTCTTTTTAAGTGTCTCACAATTATCTCTTTTCCTCGACTTCATGCTTTTTAGAAGACTGGCAGCCTTTTTAGAAGACTTGGCAGCAAATAAGGAAAACAGTTTTGGAAGTTTCTGCGGTCACAGCATTTTCTCCTTCACCTTTGAAACAAAATTCAAACATGTATTATCTGTCTCACCACTAATATAAATAAATTAAAAAAAAATAGGCACCGCAAGATCAAAGCTCCACGTTCACCGGTCACTCCCCAGTTTTTTAGAAAGAAGCTCTGGCCCTTGCAGCAAGCGCTGATTTACAAAGGGAGGCGTGAAGTGCCTTGCGTAAGATCATCTTGCACTTGTCGCAAAGTAGATTTAAAAAAAAAAAAACCCACACACATATACAAAACCCTGCCGTGCTGCTTTACGGCACTCGCCCCGCCCCTCCTGAAGCTGACGCTCGGAAACATGGTGGCTTCCTGCTCCTTCAGCCCGGCATTCATTGCTGCGGCGGGGATGTTGCTTTTCTCCTGCGGCAGCTTGGCTACTAGTCAGATCGAGGTAGGAGTTCAGGCTCCTATGAGCGACAGGGCCCTGGGAGGGCAGATCGCTGTGCCTCGGCAGTGAGCGCAGGTGCCCACCCGCAACCGCGAGGGGCGGATTGGGCCACCCTACAGGGGGGTCGCTGCAGAGGTCTGCGTCGGCGCTGAAAGCCTTTCCCAAAGGTTCACTTCACTAAAAGGATGAACCGCTCGGAGATCGGGGAGGCTTCGGTGTGTGGCAGTCCTTTGCGACTGGGTCCGGGCCCGAAGGCAGGTGAAATAGGAGCACGTGAACGCAGCACCTTCTGCTCCTTGCAGACGGTGGTCATCTGCAAAGGCTGTTTTAGAAGGTGCATGCCAACCGTAATAGACAAGACCCTCGCCTTGTAAATGGACACGCTAAAGAAACCTGTTATTTTTATTCGCTACAGTTTTTTTTCATTCCAGTTTCAGTAACATGGTTACGGTAGTGTTATGGTTGGTTTTGATGTACAGTTTCTGCACTCTCAACCCCATCCCCAACACCAACAAAATGCCCAAGACTCACCACCACCCCCCATGTGTTACCTGTCTAGTCTGCCTCTTTCCCCTTACTGCTTGGTAATGTCAGTTTTGTCAGTCAAGGCCCCAAATTTTGTCTACATTCCATACTGTTTACTTATTTTGTCTCTGTGTAACACAGATAAGTGAGATCATCTTGTACTTGTCCTTCTCTTACCACTCAGATCACTCAGTATCCCCTCCCACTCCAGTTCCCATCCAAGTTGCAGCAAACTGAGATTTTATCTTTTCTTATAACTGAGTAATAATCTATTGTGTCTACATGTTAGTTTCTTTATCCATGCCTCTGTGTGCAGTTTTGTCTTCTTTTTACCTTATGTTCTATGAGGATGTCTTTAAATTTGGAATCTGGGTATTTTCAGTAAACTACGCTTAATCCCACATTTTAATTATTACCAGATTCTATGTTGAACACAGAAACATTGATTTCAACTTTCCATTTCTGCCTTTTTAATGCCATCCCTATGTGATTATTTTCAGCTTGTTTCCCCAGGCTTCTCTACTCCCTTACTTAGTTCCTACATTCATCTACATAAACTATAAACCAGATCATGTTCTTCTGAATCCTTTTATTTTTTTTATTTTTATTTTTTTTGCTTTTTGGGTCACACCCGGCGATGCTCAGGGGTTACTCCTGGCTCATGCACTCAGGAATTGCTCCTGGCAGTGCTCAGGGGACCACACGGGGTGCTGGGAATCGAACCTGTGTCGGTCATGTTGGCTGCATGCAAGGCAAACGCCCTATCTGCTGTGCTATCACTTCAGCCCCTTCTGAATTCTTTTAATGGTTTTCCATTGCACACAGAATAAAGTTTGTGTCTACTTTTCATAACCGGAGCTCATTTTCCCCAGCACTTCAGTGTCCTGAGTTTAGATCAGAGGATTCTAAAACTTAAGAGTCCCTAACTCTTTCCCAGAAGTTTTTCTAAAAATCCTGTTGATCATGGCCTCTATGTATCAGTGAAGTACTGCTAGCTTGTATATTTAGTGTTTATAAAGATAACAGCAATAGAGGCTCTTCCATTTTCCTCTTTTATTCTAACATATATACATTATTGTGAATATTATTACGCTTTTTGGTAGTTTCACAGGTGCTGTGCTTTTTCCACATTGCCACATTTCCTTCCTTCTATTTCCTGTCACTTTGTTTAATGGAAAAAATAGAAGTGTAACTTCTTGGCATCTTTATACATTGTTTACCTTCGCCTTTTTTATTGTTGTAATTTGTACAGTTGACTAGTATAGCACTAACTATTATGACTCTTTCATGTTTTTGAATTATCTGTTATTTCATCATCTTTCGCTTGGAGTGTAATAAGTGTAATGGTTTCTTATCTTTTCTGCCTGCGTCCCCTAACATGTCATATTTTCTTCTTTCCAGGCTGTTCTCCAGTCTGCACCGAGTAAATTAGGAAAAAAAAATAAATCTGATTGTATCACCTATTAGACACTTAAATGTTGCTTTAAAGGATAAGAACAACATTTTTATCACCAAGCTACAATCAAACCCTGTATAGTTTGACTCCATTTTACATATGCCATCTCTCTCTTTCTCTTTCTCTCTTTCTCTCTCTCTGTCTGTCTCCTCCTCCCCTGCCACCCCACCACTTTTTCTGTGTCTCCCTCCCACCTTTTTCTCCCCTTTGCTACTCTTCTCCCTGGCTTACCTCTCTCCTGCTTCTGTACTCCCTCCCACATTTTCTCTTCCCATTCCCTTCCTCTCTCAATTTATAGTTCTGCGAATCTTCTTTTGGATTCTCAAAACGTTTATGCACCCTTTGCCATTAGGGCACATACTCCCTCTGTCTGGATTTATCTTTATCTTTTGGATTTTAGCACAAATTTTCTGACACTGCTCTGCCCTACCTTGTCAGGTCAGTTGCCCCCATTATACTCTTTTATGATACGATGTATTTCACCTTTATGGAATTTATGATTTGCCCTTACCTGTTTAGTGTCTTTCTATCAAGATGGGCAATAACTTCTTTAAAGGCAAGTATGGATTGCCTGGGGCTGTAGCTATAGCACAGCGGGCCTCTCGGAGAGCCCAGCAAGCTACCGAGAGTGTCTCGCCCGCACAGCAAAGCCTGGCAAGCTACCTGTGACATATTCAATATGCCAAACACAGTAACAAATCTCACAATGTTACTGGGCCCGCTCGAGCAGATCGATGAACAATGGGAGGACAGTGACAGCAAAAGATGGATTGCCTGGGAAACAGACTGTAGCCAGATGATCCTCAATGGATTTGATGAATGAATGAGTATTTTCACCTTTCAGTGATAAGTTTTCTTGCTTGAATTTCTGTGGGATTCTTGAGAGAAATTAGTCTTCTTTAGTGATGCTTTTTTATCACTTTATTTTTTACATTGTACCTGAGCACATAATAGGTGAGCCATTAACTGTATGTTGAGTGAATAGCTTTGCAATACCTATAAACATAAAAGAGTTTTGCCAGCTTAATTTTTTCACTTAAAGATGATATAATAATTTTGAAGCCGAAATTTAAGATTATTAGACAAACTATCATATTTCATATGAGTAAATTCAAGTCTAAAGAGCTAGGTAATAGACCTGTCTCATAGCCAGAAGGATGGGATCTGGGCCTAACACAGATCTATGAATTTCTAAATTTCTCTTGTTTCAATATGGCACATTGTTTTTCCTTTTCTTTTTCTTTCTTTTCTTTTTTCTCTTTTCTACTTTTTTGGTTCATTTCTTTTTAACTCTTTAAATTTGTTTTCTGTGACTTGCAATACTGTTGTTCATGATGGTTTCCTGTACATAGTTCCAATACCACATAACACCAGTGTCTACCTCCGAGCACATTGTTCTTCTCTTGTACCTAGGAAGCTGTTGAGACAGGATAGAAAATATGTATATGTATGTATAAATAGATAGTATAGTTGAATAATTTTTAAAATTTTGTTTCTCCTGAAATTTTCCTAAAATTTCAGCTGTAAATTAAAACAGATAACATTTGTTAGGTAGGAACTGTTTCAGTCACCCTTCCTACCTTCTTTGAATCAGGTAATATTACCCATTTATAGCTGGGGAAATGAAGGCATAAAGAAGTTAATTTCTTAAGTTTACATAGCTAGAAGTCGTAGGACTCATTTAAATTCATTCACACTGTTCTAATAATGTATACTGTTTGGGAGTAGATCTGAGATCAACTTGATAGTTTATAGATACTATTATTTTGATATATAATTAAAATTATTAGGTGTCTAAATGGGTTTGAGTGCTCAGGTTTTTAATTTTCCTTGATGGCAAATAAAATGAATGAAATGGTACATGATAGTATGCCAGAGAATGTGCTTAGTCAGATGTATTGGTGAGTTCAGATGAAGTAATTGGTGAATGGTGGTGAGTTCCAATGAAGCAGCTAGCACAGAGTAGGGATGAATGTTAAAAGAAATTTCAACAATCGGGGTATTTTCTTTTCTTTTTTTCTTTTTTTTTTTTTTTTGTTTTTGGGCCACACCCAGCGATGCACAGGAGTTACTCTTGGTTCATGCACTCAGGAATTACTCCTGACAATGCTTGGGGGACCATATGGGATGCTGGGAATCGAACCCAGGTCGGCTGCGTGCAAAGCAAATGCCCTACCCACTGTGCTATCGCTCCAGCACCAGGGTATTTTCTTTTTGATATAAAATTAAGACATGAAATGAGTCATTCACAGTTTGATCTGATAGAAAATTAGAGGACTATGAGCAAGAACTGACTGTGTTTAAGATCATTGTTTAAAAGTAAATAGTTCCCTCCCAATAATGTCCCCAAACTAAAATTTAAGAAAAATTCTAATTTTATCTTTCATAAAGTTAAGTACTAGAATTTTTATAAACTTGCCTAATAATGAATTATTGTTAATATAATTGTAAAGACTGCATTATTTTACTGGCCTTCATTGGTCTTTGTGCTGGGAAATGTGTTCTTTTCTGCTAATCAATTTTGCTATTATTTCACTGATAGGATCAAGCAGAACAGTTCTTTAGAAGTGGCCATACAAACAACTGGGCTGTTTTGGTAAGTGTGTTTCATACAGGTATGTCTAGCTTTTCACACTAGATATATGTCTGAAAATTTTTGAGTGAATCTTTTTTTTTCCTAAAGAATAAACTTTATTTTCTCTTACAACAAGTAAAATTGTTGATTTGGCTATATTTTATTTATTATATTTGAGTTTTATTTAACTGTATTTTATTTTGTTACTTGGGAAAGGAAGGTTTTAGATTTTCCCTACAGTGCTCAGGAGCTATTCCTGACTCTGTGTTCAGACCCATGCTGGTGCTTGGGAAACAGATGAGGTACTGGGGATTTGAGCAAGAGTCATTGGGATACAAGGCAAACCTCTCAATCTGTTATGCTACCTCTCTGATCTCTGGCTAATGTTTTTAATTCACCACTTGGATTAGTTATGTTCTTTATCTTTAGAGTATCTGTCAAGTGGTCATATGAATAGAATAAGTTAATGATGCTGGTGGTGTTCTTTTTTTTTTTCGATGGGCCACATGTGGCGGTATTCAGGGTTTGCTCCTGATTCATGCTCAGGGATCACTCCTTGCAGGCTTGAGATACCATCTGGGGTGCTGGGGATCAAACCCCGGTTGGCTGTGTGCTAGACAAGCATCCTATTTGCTGTACTATTGCTTCGTAGCCAAGGGTGATACTCTTTTTTTTTGCTTTTTTGGGTCACACCTGGCGATGCACAGGGGTTACTCCTGGCTCTGCACTCAGGAGTTACTCCTGGCGGTGCTCAGAGGACCATATGGGATGCTGGAAATTGAACCCGGGTCGGCCGCGTGAAGGCATACAACCCTACCCGCTGTGCTATCTCTCCAGCCCCCAAGGGTGATATTCTTAAAGGAAGTTTTTGATGAGATGTAGACTTTTGTTTTAATAATGCTAATAATTAATTGTATGTCTTACCTGTCATTTGAATTTATACTTTCCACATTGATTATTTTGTTTTTATTAAAAGTTCTTTTTTGTGTGTGTACACAAATAATAAATGCTGATTGTAGAGAATTCAGTCCTTGTCCCTGCCAACAAAACAAAACAAAGCAAAACAAAAAATCCCCCCAACATTTAAAAGATAAAAGATTAGGATTTCGAGAGAAAGTTCAAATGCCTAGAGCATGTGCTTTGATACTTGAGCACTGTCAGGAGTCAGTGAGTTAGGAGTGACCCCCTGAACACTGCCTTTTGTGACTCCCCAAACAAAACAAAAGTATTAGGTAAAGCTGGAGGCATGAATGCAGGACTGGAGTGAAATTTAGGACCTCCACGTTTAAGGAAAGTGTGCTGTCACTGGAGGCACATCACTAGCTCTTTCTTTTCTTTCTGACAGCTGTTTTTGTTTTAATTTGTATTTGTAGGATTCTGATTCTTAGTAAGGTTTACATATTGGCCACTTTCCCCCCTTTTTACTGTTTTTTTGCTCTTGAATTATGAGTTCCCAGGTTTGTATTTTCAATTTCGTAAATAGATACAGGTAACCAGTTTTGCTTTTCCTGTGTTTGAAAAATATTTGGATATTATGGGGATTTCATTTATACTGGGGTTTCATTTACTGACATGTACATAATTAGAAGGCACTAAATTGTATAAAGTTATGAAAGGGTTAATTAGGAAGAAGGTTGAGAAAATTTAGAGGCAAGAAAGGAAGCTGATTTTTGTGGAAAAGTAAGGGGATAGATAGTATGTCAAGAAAAGTATATTAACTAGGCAATGTCAATTGTGTGGATGTAGGGAAGCTGTAAAGGTGTTGGTTAGAGGAATTCAGAACAAGTATCTAAGATGGAATTTACATTTCTAAGCCCAAAGGCATAGTAGCTGATGTTAGTTTTAGAAATTTTTTTTTTCTTTTCCACAACTGGTAGTACTCAGGGTTTATTACTTCTGACTCTGCTCAGAGATCACTCCTGGCAGGGCTCTGGGGACCAGATGTGGTGCCTGCAATGGAACCTGGGTCAGTTGCTTGCAATCCACTTTAGTATCTCTCTAACCCTTGAAGCCTTGTAAGTTTATTGAGAATCTTTTCATAAAAGTATGTAATTAGGTAAATACAAATTTCTAGAAGAAATCAAGAGTGATGATAGTTATGTGTATTTGTAGTGGATAAAATTATATTGGTAGTAGAGCATTATCTAATGGGTTCATGGCTTTCTGTCTCACTCTCCAAGAAAGAATACCTTTTATATGCTGTCCCTCAGAAGAATTTTTTTTTTTTTTGATGAAATTGAAAGGAGCTGCTCAGAATTAGGAGACAGGTCTTTAGTAGCCCTTAAAAATGGAGATATCAGGAGACGGACTGAGTTCTACCAATCTGAGATGATTTAGCCTCTCTGAGGAATTTTGTATTCTTTTTCTTTTAAAATTTGTATTTCAGGGGGCTGGAGCAATAGCACAGAGGGTAAGATGTTTGCCTTGCACACAGCCAACATGGCCGACACAGGTTCAAGTCCCAGCATCCCATATGGTCCCCCGAGCACAGCCAGGAGCAATTCCTGAGTGCATGAGCCAGGAGTAACCCCTGAGCATCGCCAGGTGTGACCCCCCCAAAAAAATTTGTATTTCAGTCACTGTGATTTATCTACAGGAATTTTTAAAAGAGGAAATAATGGCCCGTGTGTCTAGTACTAACTGCTGAAGGGCTCATCCTTTAGAATTAGAGCCTGTTGCTTATATTACACACATAATAAAGTTTCTCTTGGCGGGGGACTTTTAATCAAGCTCTTCTTCAATCTTAGTGACCTGGATCTGAGATGAAAAATAGTAAGTGAAAAAAGAATTATTTTGGAACATTTCACAACTGCAGTTTTCATACTTTACCAGCTGTTTTTCACACTAACTCAGACTTGGTGACTCATCAGTAAAGTACATTTTATTTTTTCCCTCTTTTTTGGGCCTCCCAAGCAGTGCTCATGGGCTTTGGGAACCACTCCTTGTGATTCTCTGCAGTGCAATTCTAGAGCTTGCAGTATGAGGGATTATGTGGGCCACCCCAGCAATGCTTGAACGAGACTTTTGGCAGCTGAGAAAGATTAGAAAGGTGAATTCCAATTTTCTTATCAGGATCTACTTTAAAAAAATATTTTTGCACCCCTCCCATTCCCACCCTCTTGCCTCTAGGGCAGACAATTTTCCTCATACTTCTCTCTACTCTTGGACATTATGGTTTGCAATACCGATACTGAGAGGCTATCACATTTGGTCCTTTATCTACATTCAACACACATCTCCCATCCTGAACGATTCTTTCAACCATCATTGACTTAGTGATCCCTTCTCTATTTCAGCTGCCTTCTTCCCCAGCTCATGAGGCAGGCTTCCAACCATGGAACAATATTCCTGACCCTTGTCTCTAACTGTCCTTGGGTGTTAGTCTCATATGTTATTTTATATTCCACAAATGAGTGCAGTCTTTCTATGTCTGTCCCTCTCTTTCTGACTCATTTCACTTAGTATGATACTCTTCGTGTTCATCCACTTATAAGCAAATTTCATGACTTCATCTTTCCTAACAGCTGTGTAGTATTCCACTGTATAGATATGCCAAAGTTTCTTTAACCAGTCATTTTTCTCGGGTATCTCTCTCTCTCTTCTCTGCCTGCTTTGCTGTCTGTCCAGCCCCATTTTCTTTCTTTTTTGATAATTTTATTACTAAATCAATAACATTTACTTGATTTGACTCTAGTTTTCTGTTCACTTCAACACTGTCTTTACATTTTTATGTGCATATAGAATTATTTTGTGGGCTGGAGCGATAGCACAGCGGGTAGGGCGTCTGCCTTGCACGCAGCCAACATGGCCGACCCGAGTTCGATTCCTCCGCCCCTCTCGGAGAGCCCGGCTAGCTACCGAGAGTATTGGATATGCCAGACACAGTAACAACAAAGTCTCCAAAGGAGACGTTACTGGGCCCGCTCGAGCAAATCGACGATCAACGGGAGGGCCTTTACCTTTTTTTTTTTTATAGAATTATTTTGTATATTTTAGTACATCTCACATTTTATACAATTAAAACTATAAACGTATCCAAAGCAAAATGAATGTTACTATAACCCACGATAGCTAACTATTTTCTTAATTCTGTGAAGAGATGATGGGTTTTATCTTTGATAAAGAATTTAATGTTTTGGAAATAGAAACATAATAGAATCACAAAATTGTGAGTGACAGTTTGTTTACCATTTGATTCAATTTCCCAATTACTTGTTTTCTCTCTTTTTTATTCTGCAATGCATTGAATTCAGAGCCACTCAGGGAACTCAGAACATCCAACATGCAAAGCAAACTCTGATTGACTTTCTTGCCCTGTGATATTTTTATTAAGCCAAATGGTCTTTTAAATTTAATACCAGTTATGAAAGGTCTCTTTAGTGAGACTGGCTTTATTGACAATTCTTTATGCAGTTTGATGTTTTCTTTATTACTTCAAGAGAAATAATTCATTATCTCCTTGACTTATTTTGATTCATGAATGTAATTTATTTGTTTAATATTTTAGGTGTGTACATCCCGATTCTGGTTTAATTATCGACATGTTGCAAATACTCTCTCTGTTTACAGAAGTGTCAAGAGGCTAGGTATTCCTGACAGGTAAGGAATTTTAATAAAAGTGTGACTCTGAGTCTTAATGAAAATCACTCTTAGATGATTGTTATATTTGTATTTTTTTTTCTAAATATCAACTTTTTAAAAATTTATTTATTGAGTCACCGTGAGAACAGTTACAAAGCTTTCAGGTTTAAGTCTCAGTCATATAATGGTCAAACACCCATCCCTTCACCAGTGCATATCTTCCACCACTAAGAACCCCAATATATCCCCATCCCACCCTCCCCATGCCTGTGAGGCAGATGATTTCCACTTAACTCTCTCTCTACTTTGATTACATTCATTATTTCGACAAAATATGCACCATTATTATTTGGAATTTTACCCCAACAATCAGACCTGCTGAAAAGGCATCATGAAATAATTTGTTTTCTATTGCTGGTTATGAAGACAATATGATGTTGTGTGACTGTGATAGTGGATGCAAGATTTTGGATTTCTGATATTTTACTAATTAAGTCTGGAGGGATTTCTGCCAAAAGCTGCATAGATCCGAGATTGGTTTGTGTGCCTCTAGGTTCATGGCCGTGCTGGAGAACCGCTTGTAGGGGGCAACTCTTGGTCTTGGTGGGTTGGGAAGAACGTGCTGGTTCTGCCACTCCATCCCATTAGGCCACAGTTGCCCCGTCACTGCTGCCTCATACCTGGCTGTCCAATAAGCTCTGAGGCAGCAGCCACCATGCTGCCAGGGTGGTGGGGTGGAGAGAGTGAAGGCAGAAGAGACAGATACCCTTTCGCTCCCGTCGGGGGGAGGCACAGCAGTAGCTTAATGCATAGTCCATTCACATTTCTGCCAAAAGCTGCTGGGTTCCAAATTAGGTCCGTGTGCCTCTGGGGCCATGGCCGTGCCAGAGAGCCATTCGTGGGGGGCAGCTCATGGTCTCAGTAGGGTGGAAAGGACGTGTATATTTGTATTTTTGTGTTTCCTTTTCAAATGATAAGCTCTGACTAGAAGTGTTTATTTTTATTTCATTGAATCAATGTGAGAACAGTTACAAAGCTTTCAAGTTTAAGTCTTGGTCATACAATGATCAAACACCCATCCCTTCATCAGTGTGCATGTTCCACCACCAAGAACCCCACCATACCCCCCGTCCCACCCGTGCCCCTGTTGTGAGGCAGATGATTTCCACTTTACTGTCTGTCTACTTTGATTGCATTCAATTTTTCGACAGAAGACCCACCATTATTATTTGGAATTTTCTCCCAATAATTAGACCCGTTGAAACAGCATCATTAGATAATTTGTTTTCTGTTGCTGATAATGAAGAATATATGATGTCATGGCCACACGATTTCAGATTTCTGATATTTTAGTAATTAAGTCTGGAGGGATTTCTGCTAGAAACTGCTGGGTTCTAAGATTTGATTGTGTGCCTCTGGGATCATGGCCATTTCAGAGCTGGAGGAGCCATTGGTGGGTGGCACCTTGGGGTCTCGTCTGAGCGGGGAGAGGGACCGATCCACCCCCCATCCCATGAGGACCTGCATCTCTCATTACTGCAGGATTATACCTCAGTCCAATAGGCTCTGAAAGATGGCGGTCACCATGCTGCCGCCGAGGGGAAATGGCGGAAGGGACAAGTCCCTTTCCCATCCCGGGCTGCATGAGTAGAAGTGTTTATTTTTGTTAGAGTATAGCATTATAGAGTAACTTAAGATTGTAATAGCAAATTATATAAATCAATAATTAGTTCCATGCTAAAAAGTTTTGGTAAGGTGTATTTGCTTAGTGTCATCTTATTATTAAGCATCTTGGGAAGGGTTTTTTAAGTTGCAGACAACAGAAGTCAATTTTGAATGAATTCAATTAGAAAAGAAATTTTTTGAAAGCTTATTGATTAGTTCACCAAATTGTTGAAAGGTTGTAGCCTTAAATAGTCAGGAGCTAGGATGACTAATAGCAGTAAAAACCTCTCTGAAAATAAGACATAAACCAGTTCACTGACAGTAATGCAGCCTCAAGTTGCTGAAGGCTAGATTTAGGCATTGTTTAGCAGTTACTGGTGTTTAATGAAAATTATTACGATGCCCACAGCCCAAATCCACCCTTGCTAATTGAATTTTTCTCATTCTCGCCAGCTTTTGATTGAGAGTCCTGGATAAGAGAATATCATATTCATTTAGTATTTCTTTATTTTGTTTTGGGTTTTGATGGGAGTTCTCAGGACTAACTCCTAGCTCTGCACTCAGGGCTCTCTCCTGAGGTACTCAAAGGACCATGTGTGGTGACAGAGATTAAATCCATGCCTGCTATGTGCAAGGCAAGCTCCTTCCCAGCTGTACCATCTCTCTGGCCTCATAATGTAGATTTAGTGTCCTTGTTCTGCTGCAGACAGAAGCATGCCTGAATGGCATTAGCTTAGCTTCTACATAGGAAGATGGACTTACCTTTAAACTATGACTTACAAGGTAAGCTATTTCCTAATGATAAAAAGGAGGTTCAGGTGTAAGTACCCTACTTCTTCACATCCAGATTATTTTTTAAATTTGTTGGATGTAGGTTGTTGAATGTCATAGTTTTGTTTTTACTACTACCAAAGGAGTTATGGCAGGAAATTTCAGTTAATTCAGTTTATTAGGTTTGATTTTTTGACTTTGATTTTGTTCCTTTCTATCTAGGAGGCTGTGTGGGAAATCTTTAAAGTGACTGATCTGAGTTTAAACTCTGACTTTAGTGGTGATTTTTTATTTTTTTATTTTATTTTATTTTTTTATTGAATCATCGTGAGATACAGTTACAAGCTTTCATGTTTGAGTTTCACTCATACAATGATCAAACACCCATCCCTCCACCAGTGCATATTCTCTACCACCAATGTCCCCAGTATACCTCCCTTTCCAAGCCTTCCCCTCCTCCATGGCAGACAGTAACTCCCCCATACCCTCTCTCTACTTTGGGGCATTTTGGTTTGCAATACAGATACTGAGAGGTCATCATGTTTGGTTCTTTACTTCCAGCACACATCTCCCATCCCAAATGATTCCTCCAACCATCATTGGCTTAGTGATCCCTTTTTTATTCCAGCTGCCTTCCTCCCGGCTCATGAGACAGGCTTCCAACTATGCAGCAATATTTCTGGCCCTGAGTCTACTGTCGTTTGGTGTCAGTCTCATATTATGTTGTTTTATATGCCACAAATGAGTGCAATCCTTCTATGTCTGTCCCTCTCTTTCTGACTCATTTCACTTAGCATGATACTCTCCATGTCCATCCTTTAGTGGTGATTTTGGCTAAGTCACTTTGCCTTACTGTGCCTGTTTTCTCATTTTTTATATACACGGCTTAATAGTACTTTTCGGGGCAGGATTTGGGTATTTCAAATAAAAGGAAGAATGCATAATGAGCTGCAGGCAGGAACAGAAAGGGAGCAATTAATGACTCCAGAAATATTGTTATATTACATTTTATGTAAATAGATCATTTTACCCTTAGAAGCTGACAAAACTATAATTTAATTCCTGTATTTCATCTGGAAATTAAGGCAACTCAGTAATACTACATTTAAAAGACACATTATATTGAGGCTGAGACTAAATAATTTGTTCTATTAAACATGCAGCTATTATTTTAATTAGATAATTATTATAATTATTGATTAGTTTTCCTGAGATCATTCTGTGTGATTTATCCCTTTGCTTTTTAACTGCTGTTGCTTTCTATACCTGATGTCCTCCTCCAGGGAATTACTATGCATGGCTTGGCAGTAGTTTGCTCTTGGTAAATAAATCTTTGTCTGGTGTATGAGTCATACATTTAAATGGTTTAAGTAAGTTATAGAGTCTTTTTAGGAATGAAACATGCAATAGAATGTATTCTATAGGTCATAATTAGTGGGCTTATTCCTAAATTTCAGAAGATTGTTATTCAGAAGCTTATTTCTGTTTCAAATAATTGCCTTTCTGCCTCATTTTATGAACGCTGTCTTTGTTGAAGAGAGAATTGGGGGTTGAAACAGTTGATTTAAACCATTTGTTATTTAATAATAGAAATCAGTAGAAAAGATTCTGTTTGGCTTTTAGTCCATTATAGGGAAAACTCCTTTTTTTAGTGACTTTTATTGGTTTAATCTTACCTGGAATTACAGTGAGCAATAAACTTTTATTCAGAAAGTAGAAAGTTACTATGAAATGGCAGTTTTAAATTGCAAGTTATTTTGAAATAACAGTTTTGGAAAGTTGAAAGCATTAGGAGCAGTTTTCAGTTTTATAGTTTGAACTTCTACATGCAGTTTGAGGGGGCCGGAGAGATAGTACAGCAAGTTGGTGCTTACTTTCCATATGGCTGATCCGGATTCGATCTCTAGCACCCTATATGGCTCCCCAAGCCCTGCCAGGAGTGGTCCCTAAGTGCAGAGCCAGGATTAAGCCCTGAGTACCACAGGTGTGGCATAAAAAGCAAACAAATAAAACAAAATCACACAATTTTATTTTATTCTATATGTTATAAAGTCTTCTAAAGTTAAAGGATGTATTCCAAAACTGAATTCTGAAGATGATTGATATTTTATAAAATTCATGAAGAGTTCTGATTTTTTATGTTTATTTATGTTCTGATTTTTTATAGTTTAGGCAACACAGTTACATATTGTTGATGTGTATGGTATTGACATACCAAGAATAGCACCCACTACCATCGAAGTGCCCAGGACTGTTGATCTCTATTAATGTGTTTGTTGACTTTTTTAAAGGTGCATTTCACCTTTGTCTTAAAATACAAAGTATTTGCACTTAGTTTTCTCATGTGCTTCAATAAGGAATGGGTTCTTGGCATAGATCATTGATTGGAATATCTGACACAGATGATGACTTTTTGTTTTAATATGCACACACCAATTCTATAGAACTCATTTAATAATTTTGGGGGGTGGTCATAATTGGAGGTGCTCAGAGAACTACATGATGCTAGTTACTGATACTGTGCTCCTGTGTGCAAAGCACATGCTTCTGTCCCCTGAGCCATTACCCTTGTGTACTCTAGG